GGAGTGTGCGCGCGCCTCGCTCCTGCGCCCCGGCCGCCTCCCCCAGCAGAACCCCGAGTGGGCCCCGGCCGCCCCCCGGGCCTCCGGCCATGGCCTCTCTGCTCGCCAAGGACGCCTACCTGCAGGGCCTGGCCAGGAGGATCTGCGCCCAGCCCAGCCCGGAGCCGCAGAGGCGCAAGTCGGGTAAAGCGCAGCCCGGGGCCCGTACTGGGGGGGGGGCTTCGGAAGGGGGTGCCCCCACTGCCTGCCGCTGCGGAGCCTGTGTCTCCCTCACACCGCATCCCGAAGAGCCTCCGGGTGGAAGCGTGAGACAAGCACGCAAAATACTAGAAAGAAATATGTGATGTTTAAAGCCACCGGTGTTTCCCCGCTTGTCGGGGACTTCAGCCTGGGGGTCCGAGGGCTTCCACGCCATCCGCCCAGCGGGCAGGAAGTACAGCCGGGGTTCGGAGGAAGTGACCTTGTGGGATGCGCATTGTGTAGACGAGGAAGGCAGAAGATGGCTCCCGCGGCGCGCGTTGACCTGGCAGGGGTGACAGGCTACCTGCGGGAAGTAGGTGCCCCGCAGGCGAAACTGGCTCACTGGCCTGCGGGGAGCTGGGTCGTCAGCATGCCTGAGCCAGGAGGAGGGGAGAGCAGCGGGTTGGCACGGACCTGGCAGAGGAAAAGCGACTCTATACAAGGAAAATGCGCTCGTTAGAGGAGGTTAGAAAAAGTGAGTTTTCTTATCGATCAGTTACAACTTAGGGCTGTGTATTTCTAGTCATTTTTTCTATGAGTAATAATTTATTAAAGTAATTCGTACCATATTTTCCATTTAAAATGTAAACATTTTCTCCGGTTCTTAAAATGAAAGCTTGTGTCATTAATTTTGATGGCTACATAGCGGGTCATATAGTGGTGCCACAATTTGTCCCCATAGATGGAGATTCAGGTTTTCCTAGTAGTTTTTTTTCCAACAGCGTCGTGGTGAACATTCCGAGGCCAAATCTTTGTGCATATTCGGGATGAATTCTCACAGCCGACTGCTGGGTCAAGTGTGTGGCTTCTGTTTCTCAGGGTTTTGACGTGCGTGGCCAGTCTGCTTTCCCTGGGCAGTTTGTGGTTCTGAGCTCTGTGGATACGGGTCTCCAGATCCTCCATTCGAATTCGCTTTCCTTCAGCATCCCTCTGGGATCAAAGCCTTTACAAGGCCTGTTGAATGGGTCACAGAAATTGGGACAATAGCTCTTTCTCATTTTGTATTTCAGCTGGCAAAACTCAAGGCTCAGAAACTGCCAGACCCCCCAAAAAGAAGAGGAAGAGACCACAGAAGAAATCCTGTGAGCGGGAGGAGAAGGCTGCGGAGCCCAGGGCCCAGTCTCTGGCAGCTTCCAGAGCCGGGAAGCCAGCCGCAGCGAAGGACGAGGAGGCCTCCGGCTCCACGGGGGGCCCCACAGGTGTGGAGCTCTGGGATGCTGGGCAGGGCCGGCGGGGATCCATGCAAACGTGGTCCTCTCTGGTCGTAAGAAAAGATACCGCTAGGCACGGTGGGATAATGGGAGATGTCCCAAAGAGTGAGCTTCAAGGGGCAGATCACAGGGGCGCTGTGGGTGGCTGGGATCCCAGGAAATGCACGGCGGTTCCAGGCCGGGTGGTGAATAGGATCTGGCAAGGGGCAAGGCAGTGAGGACCTAGAGCAGCTTGCCTTGGAGGGCGTCACTGCCCTCAAGCTTCTGAGAGGGAGTCGTGAGAGCTGACTTGTTCAGGGGGACCACGGGCAGTGAAGCTGAAGAGGGAAGCTGGTGCGGCTTGACCTGTCCCAGCGCTTTCTCATGACGCACAAGGGCACGAGGATGTCCTGTGCTGGAGGGTGTCCTAGGGACCAATCTGCCTTGAAGGGGCGGAGTGGCATTTATTGGAACTGCTGTGCAGATCCACCCGTGGCCACCAGGGGGAGGGCAGTGCAGGAGACTCAGGCCTTGAAGCTGGGCCTGGGGAGGGGACGGAAAGGTGGGGGAGGCAGCCCCCTTCCAGTCCTCCGACTCCTCCCTTGCAGGTGGGCTGGCTGCAGAGCCCGACTCCCTCTTTGCCCTGGACGTGCTGCGGCGGCGCCTGCACGAGAAGATCCAGGAGGCCCGGGGCCAGGTAGGTGGGGGCGACCTCGGGGTGCCGGAGCGCCGTTTGCTGCGGTGGTTGTCCCGCTCTGCCAGCCATCGTGGGCCTGGCCAGCGTTTCTGTGAGATGGGCAGACGGGAGGGGCCTGGGCCACTGCTCCTGCCCCAGTGGGTCC